CCATGGATGGCCAATAGAACCTTTGACGTGCCCTCTGCAACGTCTTGGACTCCCCTCCATGGCCTGCTGCTGGGATGTTATGACACAGATACATTGCAGTCCTCTGGAACTCCGGTGTCAAGACTGCCTGGTATACTGGTTCAGACCGTATACCCGAAACCCTACCAAGATGATACAACACCTCATCTTCAACCACAAACTCATCCACTGGTGCTGGAAGTGACTTCCTCAACTCCGCACGCTGACCCCTCAAAAACTTCCTTACCTCCCCCCACAGGGGGTGACCTTCCTGACTCCGTATCAACTCCCTCACATTCCACGACACATCTTCCTCCCCCCTTTCACTCACCACTGCTACATTGTGACACCTTGACAACGCGTCAGCGACCACATTGCTTTTCCTTGGTACATGTTCAAAGTTTGTAATGTTAAACTCTGCGAGCGAGGTAACCCACCGTGCCAGTCGCTGACAAGGCTCCTTGGACTCGAACACATACTTAAGGGGTTTGTGATCGCTTCTGAGCCAAATTTCATGTCCAAGCAAGATGTACCGGTTCCGTTGTAATATGAATGTGATCGCTAGCGCTTCCCTCTCAATCGTACTATAGTTCCTCTCTGCAGGACATAGTACTCGTGAACAAAATGCAATGGGACGCTCCCGTCCTCGATCATCCACCTGAGCTACCACACCACCTATCGCTGCGCCAGAAGCATCCGCATACACCAGAAATGGTTTGCTAAAATCTGGGTGCGCCAAGATACTGCGAGAGCTGACAGCAGCCCTCAGTACCTGGAACGCCTGCTGTTGTTCCTTCCCCCACACGAACTCTGCAAGTCCACTGATCTGATGTAATGGTCTTGCAATTTTTGAAAAATCTTTAATAAATCGCCGATAATAGCTAACCAACCCCAGGAAAGATTTGCACTCTTTCTTGTTCTGTGGAACTGGGAACTCTTGAATATCCCTGGTTTTATCTTGCAATGGACTGATACCCATCCGGCCCACTGTATGACCCAAGAATGTTACCGATTCTCCAAAAAAACAGCATTTTTCGAAATTCACTTTGAGGTTGTGTGACCTCAGCCTTAGCAAGAGTTTCCTCAAATTATGCATGTGCTCCTCTAATGACTTTCCCAGCACGATTACGTCATCGAGGTACAGCAACGCTGTGGGACCTATCAACCCCGATAATACACTCATCATTAGCCTACTGAACACAGCAGGTGCTGACTTCAACCCGAAAGGAAGTCGTTTATATTGCCAGAGCTCGTTGCACGCACTAAACGCTGTGATTTCCCTCGACTCTTCCTCCAGCGGTATCTGGTGATACCCACTGAGCAGGTCTAATGTGGTAAAATATTGTGTACCCTTCAAGTGTGTCAATGTGTCCTGTATGTTTGGTAATGGGTATGCTTAGTCTTTCGTCAGCTTGTTTATTCTGCGTAAATCTACGCATAACCTCACTCCCCCATTCTTTTTCCTGACTACTACGAGAGGGCTGTGCCAAGGTGAACTGGATGGTTCAATGATATCATGCTCCCTTAGCTGGCTTATCTCCTCTTTCACCTCCCTCTGGTGTGCCACTGGTATGCTATATGCTCTCGTATATACTGGATGTGCGCCCTCTACGTCAATTCTATGTGCTCCTTGAGTAATGCACCCTGGGGGTTCCCCTCTCTACGTAAAAACATCCGGGAACTCCCTGACTAAGCCCCTTAAGGCTTCCTTAACCTCCCTTTCCATGGACATCCTATCCACTATTCCCATTAATTTATCCATTCTATCCTCATCGCCCTCACTCTGACTTACTGACATGGCTGCAATAATCTCCTCCACAGGGTGCGCCCACGCTACCTGTGCATGCTTACTCAAGGTGACTGGCCACCGAGAGGGATTAAAAACCCTCAACCGAATTACCCCTTCATTTATGTCTTCAATAGTCTCCATTATCACCAACCCTGCTGGATTATCCAATGGCTCAATTTGCACAACGTCTACTCCCTTGGCTTTACATGCCATTTTAATCACTAAGGATGCTTCTCCCGGAATGGTGACATCCTTGGGTACCGTGACTGCCCACTGTATATTCTGGTCCCCAGCCGAGTTACCACAGTTACCCCTCACTACTGCTACTCCTTCTCTACTCCTCACCTTGTTAACGTCTACCGCTTGACCCCCACATACCAATTTATTCCCCCTTGCGCTGAACGCTATGGTACATGAGTATTTTTCGAGGAAATCAATTCCCAAGATAATGTTGGTATGTTTCAGCCCTATATCCTGTATTACTACAAAACTATGTTTAAACCATCTATCTTCTAGCTGGAAATCCACAGTTGTCTCACCCAACACCCGCAACGCATTATCCCCCACCGCCGTTAATCTCCTGTTGTTAGGTATCAGCCTAACGTCTGATCCTAACACGCTACGACTCATGATGGACACGGAAGCACCGGTGTCCACCAAAGCTGTATAGATCGTGCCCTTTAACCGTAAATGCACCTTTATGGGATGACCCGACCCGACGGTACACAACCACTGTCCGCCACCCCCTACTGTACACACTGGGTAATTAGGCGGAACAAAAAGCTTACACTGCCAGGCCAAGTGACTACCGTCACCACACAGCTTACACACTTTTGTCTGCTTAGGTCGTTCTGGCTCGTGTTTACCCGCAGTGTACCCCGTTCCCCGGGGATACCCTCTACCGGTACCCTGGTTCTGGTGGTACATTCCTGTTGCTCCCTGAGCAGGCGTGTATCGTGGTGGAGCAGGAGTGAACCTGCCTCCACGTGCCTCTTGAATATAGCCTCCTCGCTGCCCGCGGGTACCCTGATGGGGTCCCCACGATACCCCACTCGTATTGTGTCCCTGGAACACCCTTGGCTCCCAGCCCTTATTATTGTTACGTCGAGGAGCACCTCGCCCCTTGCCCTTGGAATGTGTGACCCCCGCCGCGGGTCCATCCTCCACTGGCTGAGCTACTGGGGCCCAGAGCTGAGCCTGTCTCTCTTGCGTGTCTGCAAGATTTGCCTGTTCCTTAGGGGACACTTCCTTGAAGATGTCATCCTCTGTCAGTTTATGTGTCGGGCTATTCTCTGCCCAAAACACTGCATGTTTCACCGCTTCCTTAAAAGACTTAGCTTCCCTGCAGTGTAACGCACTTTCCCGTGGTAATGCACCGAAAAAAACACTCCGTTGCATAGAATCTCTTACTACCCCCGTGAACTGCGTTTCCGTCCGCTCAATCACATCACCCAAGAGTCTTATTCTATGGCCAAACGCCCTTAATTGTTCCCCTGGTTCTCGTTTAAGTGCAGCTAACTGAGCCTTTAGTTCTACTGCATCGTGCTGCACATCGTAATGATCTATCAGTTCCTGTTTAAACTCGCTATAACTATTTATTTCTCTAATTTCCGCCGAGTTGAGCAGGGTCTTTGCTTCCCCTTTCACCTTGGAATATGCCAATGCAATCTTTGCCTGATCCGACCATGACCCCACACTAGTCGCCTTCTCTAGAGCAAAGAAAAATGTTCTAATATCCGTCAGTAACTGACCTTTCGAATCCCGTTTGGCGCCCCAAAACGTGGGTATGTCTCCATATACTTTAGGTCCTGCATTAGTCGTCTCATGTGTGCTCAACACATTTTTCAACCACTGTGCAACCTGCCCAATTGTCTCTGACGCTGCCGCCTGCGCCGTAAGCAACGCCGCCGTGTTATCACCACTCTCACCCTGACCGACCTTACTCGTGGCCTGGCCACTGGCGCCCCTATTACTACCCGTACCCGTCATGGCTACTCGCCCCTTATGTGCTCGTGTATGAACCAGCTTGACGCTTTGTCGTACCATAACCTTACTTGGCCTTATTCCCTTAATCTCACTAGAATCACTTATAATTTTAAGCCACCATTAACAACGTCACTTATCAGTTCCCCACACTACTGTTTCCACCCCTTAGGGGACCTTTCCCTGCCGCACAACGTGGCCACTCCACTTGGCCCCACACCCCACTATGGCCACTCACTGGCCCACACACCTTCCCTTCCTCACTCCAATATCCACCATCCTGAACACAACCCGACGTCTACCAATTCCCGAACATTCCCTCACCAACTAAACCAGTAACACACTTCCTTCATCTCTCAAAGTGTTCCAAACCTGTTTTCGCTGCCACCAAATATGTCGTGACGCTGAACCCCGGTTCATTCCGAACACATCGATTACACAACACATAACACCTTGCCTCAGCAACCGTTACTACCACCATGTACTCCTACACACACCAGACCCATGAGGCGTACCACTAGGTTTGTACTGGAACACAATGAATGAACATATGGAAGGTATTTAAAGGCCGTCGTGTTTTGTCATTTAATTACAAAGAATAGACTCTGACAAATAATAATATATTAACATACTCTATTAGGTCAATACACTTCCAATACCCATAGACCACTTGACCTCCGCGATCACCACACACACTCGTAACTCCCGCCTAAGTCCCTAATACGGAATGATTACTACAACGCTCCACACCCGGTTAGTCTTACATTATATACTCACATACTGCAGACTTAACTTGGTCACTAAGATCACAACAGGCTCTCGCATAGCTGTCTGCTACACTTCGCTGCTGCCACAAACGGAGACCTCGGAGGACTTGCCAGTTCAACTTCCACAACAAGACTGCCTCCAGCCAACCATGGCCTCAATCATTTCACCAAGCCTCTCGAGGAAGGTATAATCCGATTAACCTTATCCCTAGAGCGGTAACCTTGATCCTAGAAGCCTGACGAAGAATAATTCCTCTTTCCAGGAATTATTAATTTGGCTAAACAGCTTCGGTCTTATTCCATTGACCTTTCTTAGATATGTGATCCATAGTCTGTCTACTTACATGTACTTTCAATCATCATTCGTTAAGTGTTGTAGTAATGATCCTCTAGCTAATAATTCCTACTAACTTGTGGATTACAACACATCATCACTATCATAGCTATCAGTGTCACTGGTAATACTTCTATCATCACTAACACACCTACCACTCTCACTGGTACTGTCACAACAATCACTACCAGAGCTACCACTGTTAATGGTACTACCCTTGCTATCACTACCAAAGCTACCACTGTTACTGTTATTAACCTTTCCATCACTACAACTGTTAATGGTACTACCACAACCATGACTACCAGAGCTACCACTGGCACTGATAATACCCATACCATTAATACCAGAGGTACCATTGTCACTGGTACTACGACTAACATAACTACCAGAGCTTCCACTGTCACTGGTACTGCCCCAGTTACCACTGGCACTGATACTACTCCTACCATCGTTACTATCACTACCACTTTCAATGTTTCTACCCCTATCATCCCTACCGCTGTCACTGGTAATACCCCAATCATGACTACCAGAGCTAACGCTGTCATTGATACCACCCTAACCATTGCTACCACAGCTACTACTGTCAGTGTTACTGCTACCTGCACCTATTACCTCCAACTGACCCACTAACTGTACGCATCACCTCCATCTGAGCCACTATCAGCATCCATCACCTTCACGTGGACCACTACCTGCACCCATCACCTACACTCGAGCCTTTACCTCAACCCATTACCTTCTCTTAGGCCACAATTAGAACCCATCACCTCATCTTGGGCCAATATCAGCACCCATCACCTTCACTTGAGCCAATATCTGCACCTATCACCTCCAATTGAGCATCAACCCAATACCTCCAATTCAACATCTACCAGCACCCATCACCTTCACTTAGGTAACTACCAGCTCCCATCACCTTCACTTGGGTCACTACCAGCACCTACCACCTCCAATTGGGTCACTTCCAACACCCATCACCATCACTTGAGTCACTACTAGCATCCATAACCACCTCTTTGGCCACTGCCAGCACCCATCACCTCCACGTAGGCCACTACCAGTTATAAAATAAATAGGTTTACATTATAAATCGTTTAACGTAATACATTATCAGTGGCAACTATTATATTTTACAGCGACTTAACAAATCTGTTAAGTGAATAAGTGTCTGGTAATTACATGACAATCCTCTCTTATTAACAATTCTGAAAAATCTTAGTTTGTTAAACTTTGTAAAAGGGTAAAAGTGTCTGGAAACTGAAAATATTAATCGTCATGCAAGTTGTAGTTTTTAACAGCATGCTTAAACAGTATTACTTAGCCGCGAAAACTTCCTGGATTTTTGTCCGCAGTCATTTGGAATATGAGAGATGAAGTAATGTCATTATCAGTTTATTAAAATTGATTTAAATATTTCTATTCAACAAAGTAGAAAATGAACTATCACTGGCTACTCCGTCAATTTGTAAATACATGTCTCCTTGTGGACTGATGAAAGGGGCTTCCTTTGTACATGCTTCGAGAAGACTTTTCAAGTGTAGCTCAGGTATGTCTAATTAGCGACATCCTAAGTGACGACTCCAAATTTCAACGAATCACGAGGAACCCCGTAGAAGACCTTAAGTGGAAAGTAAACAAAACAATTACAGCAATCAACGCAAAGAAAGGTAGTGTGCATTTCAATAAACTTCAAGGCGACTATGGCTTAGGATATGCCTACGGCAATGTTAAGACGCATAAACCAGGTAACCCACTACGCCCTATAATCAGCCAAATACCAACCCCAACTTATCACCTGGCAAAGAAACTCAATGAACTCCTAACTCCATACACTCCAAGTAAGTTTAGTTTACAATCATCAGCAGATTTCCTAGAATTGATCAAATCTACCCAGCCCGATGGAATCATCGCTTCCCTGGACGTTGAATCCCTTTTTACCAACGTCCCAGTCGACACAACCATAGGAATGATACTGGACAGAGTATACAGAGACGAGAGCACCCCCAAATTAGACATACCTGAGCCACACTTGAAAAGTCTTCTCGAAGCATGTACAAAGGAAGCCCCTTTCATCAGTCCACAAGGAGACATGTATTTACAAATTGACGGAGTAGCAATGGGCTCCCCCTTAGGAGTTTTATTTGCTAATTTTTATATGGGAACCATCGAAGATAGGGTCTTCAGTAGCAGACAAAAACCAACTGTATACTGCCGTTATGTAGATGACATATTCGTAATAGTAAAAGACTCAGATGAACTAATTGACCTAAAAAGACACCTAGAGAGAGAGTCAGTACTCCGATTTACACATGAAAATAGTGAAAATAACAGTCTGCCATTCTTGGATGTACTAATAACAAAAACAGGAACCTCTTTAAGCACCAACGTATATACCAAGCCCACCAACATAGGATTATGCCTGAACGGTAGAAGTGAGTGCCCCCAAAGATACAAAACCAGTGTTCTCAATGCTTATATTCGTCGAGCGCTTACCCACTGCTCTGAATGGAGCAACGTGAGTAGAGAGTTTGAAAGAGTAACTCAGGTATTGGTGAACAACGGATATAGCAACGCGGAAATAAACGCTGCTATAAGAAGACACTTGGACCGTTGGTATAATTCAGAACCTAGAACAGAAACCACAACACCCCCAATAAAATTATATTACAAATCAACCATGCACAGTGAACATATAAAAGAGGAAAGAATAATGAAAGAAATAATCCGTAAAGGAGTAAAAAGCACTACTCCTAACCAAAACATAAACCTGATAATATTCTACAAAACCAAGAAGACTTCCGAACTCCTTATCAAAAACAGCCCGAAGCCGACGGAGAACCCTCTACAGCAGTCAAGCGTTGTATACATGTACACTTGCCCCCACGAAGGATGTAACCTTCAATGTAAGTACATAGGTATGACGTCGACCAAGCTGACGAGGCGTTAGACATGCCATCTTCAATCTGGTGCCCCTAGGAATCACATGAGACAAGCCCATGACATTACTCTAACAAGAGAAATGTTGAACAAGAATACTTGCATAATAGACAAAACCCCAGATTCAAGAAGATTACAAATTCTTGAGGCAATTCACATAAGAATAGAGCGACCTACCATGAACACCCAAATCACGGAACTATTTACTCTACCCACCATGAGAGTAAGGACAAGACAAGAACATATCGATGCCAACACAGAAGACAATGGCCAACATAACAGGCCAATTACACTGGATTAATCTTTGTGTTTGGATAGGAGATGCCTCGTATGGGCCAATATGCCTTCTGCAGCCCCTATGTTTATCCCTTATGTATCCCCCCATGTTTTTCACCTTCATTGTATTATCACCTGACCTAATGCGGGTATAAAATCAACTAGTATTGTAAGATCTGTTCACTTGAGAATGAACCATGGAGGTTCGAAACGTCGTGCAAATTATACAAATAAGTGTAATACACTCTATAGTAAATCACTTCTTTTCTTCACCTTAAAAGTACGAAAATGAGTTTTGGAGAACTCCTATTCCAATTAAGCCCTGATGCTAAGAAAATAGTTAGAGGGATAGAAGCCCTAAACCAGAATATATATATATATATATATATATATATATATATATATATATATATATATATATATATATATATATATATATATATATATATATATATATATATATATATATATATATATATATATATATATATATATATTTTTTTTTTTATTTAATAACATTAACAAAAAATTCTTAAAAACGTGGGAAACCGTCAAAATAATGTCTATATCGTCGATATTTGGAATATATCACATAAAGCAAGGAATGATGAAAATGTCAGAAAAATATTGATAAATTTGAAAGCAAAAAAAATGCAACAAAACTAGGTAAAAAATGCAAAATATTGCGAAATTCTGAGACTTGTAGGTCAAATCACATATCGTGAGAAAACGTAAAATTGTATCGAAAAATTAGTAAATTTAATTATTTTTACTTGAAATCACAAACATGGAAAACGTGAAAAACCGGCAATATAATAAAAAATTTGCTGATTTTTACTTCAAATCATAAGGCGAGATTTCGTGTTATTTAGATCATCAAAATGTACATGAAAATGTCTTTTCCAATACAAATGATACTGAAATATTCAAATATGCAATAAAAACATCATATCTCTCTTAATCTATATCTCCCACTATTTTAAGGAGGTGCAAATGATTGAATGAAAATAAAATATTGAGGATAAATTTGACATCAATTTTAGGTTAGCATCATATTTATTATATGTTTATTTAATTATTAACGTTATCTGAAAATTCATATAAATGTGGGAAAACGCCAAAATATTGCCCAAATTGTCTATATTTGGTTAAAACACATAGAGCAAAGAAATATGAAAAAAGTAAATATATTTCTAAATTCGATGATTTTTTTAATTAATCAAATGCAAGAACACTAGTTAAAATATACAATACATTGCAAAAATTGCGAGGTAAGTTGTCAAATCCCATATTGTGAGAAAACATGAAATAGTATGGAAATATTAATAAATTCGATTGTTTTTGCCTAAAATCACACATCCTGGAAAATCGTGAAAAAACTTCAATATATTATCAAATTCGATGATTTTTACATCAAACCAAAAGGCGAGATTCATGTTAGTTATAATATTAAAATGCATATGGAAATGTTGTTTCCATTAAAAATTATAAAAATCAATGTGTTTTCATTAGAATTAACTATTTCCCAGTAAGCATAAAACGTGTTCTGATGTTTTTATTTTGGTAGAAGAAAGGTGACACTGTAACAGTCTATATAAAGTCGTCATTATTTGTAGGTAACCAGCAAGGAAACCCTGATATTATACTGACGAATGTTGAATGCAATATCTTTCACAGTTGAATTCTCCCAGGTAATGATGTGGGCTCAGATCACATACTTGTTATTCTCCGCCTCCAAGCATCTCCCTTTAGAATTCTGGGACGCCCCAGACCCAAACTAAACACGCTTCGACTTCGCCAATATATGGAGTTCCTTTGCACGGATTCAACCGCTGATCTTGACAATCAACCGGTCCAGGACATTTACACAGTAATTGCCTTCATACATTCTCTCATTACTGAAGCAACTATGATGAATTGTGAGCTAACTAACACCAGAATAATTCAGCAATACAAACCGACCAGAGAGATCAAGGATAAAATGAGGCATTACCAGCAAGAATGTGTGAGGCGCCTACGCACAGGCCAGCCATCCTTCCAAATTATTCAGTCCCTAAGACGTGAAGTCTTAGGCCTCACGCTCCTACACAAACGTCATATTTGGGGTATTCTAGTCAACCAAGTTAACCAGTACAAGAGAGAACCTGCCAGATTCTGGGGAAAGATCAGACAACTCCTAGGACCGTCAAAGACACCGCTTTCGCATCTCAGCTATACATATACTGATGACAACAACGAGGTAATAACCACCAGATTGGAAGATGGACACCTGCAGGCTAATCTTAGGGGATTAGTTTGGGTGGAAATCTTTACAGAAAACAACAGCCAAATCAACAATGACAACCTCCGTACAGTCAACCAATGGGTTGCTGAAAATGTGGAGAACCTGTCTAGCAGGCCTCTAGTGGACACCGCACTCCTTGACCCAGAGCACCCGATCACCCGACCCATCACCCTACGGGAACTGCTAGAAGTATTAAAGAAAACGAGGAACAAAGCGCCAGGTTTATCAGGAATAACAGTCAACTAACTGAAGCTTCTGCTTCTCAACTAACTTGCAGTCCATGCTCAATGTCTTCAACGCCATCCTCGTCTCAGGCCACTTCCCACAGGCATTTAAAACTGCCAAAATGATCTTTATTCCGATGCCAGGCAAAAGCAGACATGTCCCTGGAAACTATAGGCCTATCTCCCTGTTGGAGTCGACAGGAAATTGCTTTGAGAAAATGCTCTCAAATCGTATTAACTACTACATGGAGTACCACCACCTGGATACTGAAAAACAGTTTGGTTTTAGGAACCCCAGATCAACACAAAATGCCATCAATATAATTTATGATGCAGCAGACAGTATCAGGAAACAGCATTAATATCAACCAGAGATGTCAACAAGGCCTTTGATAGTTTATTGCATAATGGTCTGCTCTTCAAGCTGCAATCCACACCACACCACAACTGGACCCTTTTAAGACATGTAAAAAAAAATTCTAAGATCAATAATTCCACTGTTTAGCAACAAGGAAGCTGAAGCCTTTTCCCCGACAGCTGGAGTTCTTTAGGGATCGTGCATCAGCCCTCTCCTCCTCAATCTCTTTGTAACGATTTGCCACGCCCTATTTATAACGACACTATTATCACTCAGTTCGCGGACAATGTCATTCATGTAGTGTCGTCGATGCCTGCTGGCCAAGGAACTAAACACGAGTCAGTCATAAGGAAGACGAAAGAGGAACTCGGAGCCACAGCAAGTTGAGAACAAGACTGGAAAATCGTGACAAACACTAACTAGATTGAATTGTGCTCGGTGGGCAGCTGGGTTAGTTCACACGGGGTCATCAAAATCGGTGGCATGTTAATACAGGTTCAGAACTCCACTACAATTCTGGGCAATGTAATATCGATACTTTTGAATTCCACAGAGCATATCAGTAAAAAAAGAGGCCTTAGCCAAAGCACTACTAGCTCGGCTGTACCGATTCAGGCAATTCTGTATACATATATACAGAATGCTTATTCGATCAATCCTAGAATACCCATACACCCCGCTTGCTCTTACAAACAGTCAAATATGTTGAAACTTCAAAGAGTTCAAAATAGAGCACTCAGATTTGTAGCATGAGTGACACTTGCCGACAAAATTAGGAATGACAGCCTCCTCACTCAGTAAAAGATAGAACCGTTGAATAGACGCCTCCACAAACTCCCAGTAACGCAGTTATACAAAATGAAGAACACTTACCGAATCGTGACGATCCCTTTACGGCATTTAACACTACCAACTATGAGATACGAGATCAGCCCCACAGAACAAGGAGGATGTAACTACAACAAAACGTCAGGCGGTATATCCACAACAGGAATTACTCACGGCCCAGGATACTTAGTAACCCTCTTACGTGATGAGGAATGGGAACCTCCTGATCCAATATATATATAACAGGCACGAACTATGAGCTAACAAGTCAACATCTGACACCAATACCTCTACCAACCAGGACAAAATCATTGTATACATCAACTACAAGCTCCTCTACCAACCACACATCTGCAAGTCACCACAGGACTGCTCTTCGGATGCGGCACCAAGACTGGAACTCTGTCCTCGCATGGTAACTTCTCTCCACCTCTTGTGCAACAGCTACAGCTTGCTGCTACTGGCAGCCAGCAATCATTCACAAAAAAAATATCATCACCATCATATATGAGTGCAGTTGTGCCTCTCCATCAATTCACACATCAACTCACACACTTTTATTATCACTAGAATCACTATCAGACGATCCACTGTCACTGGTACTACCCCAACCATCACTACCAGAGCTTCCACTGTCACTGGTATTACCACTATATCACTACAAGAGCTACCAGAGTCACTGTTACTACCCCAACCAACATTACCAGAGCTACCACTGGCACCGGTACTATCCCTACCATCACTACCGGAGCTTCCACTGTCACCGGTTCAAGAACTACCACCGTCTCTGGTACGACCCCAACCATCACTACCATCTTGAGGTTATCTTGAGATGATTTCGGGGCTTTAGTGTCCCGCGGCCCGGTCCTCGACCAGGCCTCCACTCCCAGGAAGCATCCCATGACAGCTGACTAACACCCAGGTACCTATTTTACTGCTAGGTAACAGGGGCATAGGGTGAAAGAAACTCTGCCCATTGTTTATCGCCGGCCCCTGGGATCGAACCCAGGACCACAGGATCACAAGTCCAGCGTGCTGTCCGCTCGGCCGACCGGCTCCCCTATACCGACCATAGCTATCAATGTCACTGGTAATACCCCCTATCATCACTAACAGAGCTAACACTGCCATTGGTACTTTCGCAACAATCACTACCAGCGCTACCACTGTCAATGGTACTACCCCTACTATCACTACCAGAACTACCACTGTCACTGTTACTAACCCTTCCATCACTACAACTGTCATTGGTACTACCACAACCATGACTACCAGAGCTACCACTGTCACTGTTACTACCCCTACAATCACTACCATTCTCACTGGTACTACCACAACTATCACTACCAGAGATACCACTGTCAATAGTACTACCCCTACAATCACTACCAGAGCTCCCACTGCCACTGGTACTACCCCCTTCCATCACTACCATTGACACTGGTACTACCCCTACACTCACCACTAGAACTTCCACTGTCACTGTTACTACCCCTGATATTACTACTAGAGCTACCACTGGCATTGGTACTACCCTTACCATCACTACCAGAGCTACCACTGGCATTGGTACTACCCTTACCATCACTATCAGAGCTACCACTGGCACTGTTACTAACCCTTCCATCACTACAACTGTCATTGGTACTACCACAACCATGACTACCAGAGCTACCACTGTCACTGTTACTACCCCTACAATCACTACCATTCTCACTGGTACTACCACAACTATCACTACCAGAGATACCACTGTCAATAGTACTACCCCTACAATCACTACCAGAGCTCCCACTGCCACTGGTACTACCCCCTTCCATCACTACCATTGACACTGGTACTACCCCTACACTCACCACTAGAACTTCCACTGTCACTGTTACTACCCCTGATATTACTACTAGAGCTACCACTGGCATTGGTACTACCCTTACCATCACTACCAGAGCTACCACTGGCATTGGTACTACCCTTACCATCACTACCAGAGCTACCACTGGCACTGATAATACCCCAGTCACTACTACTAGAGCTACCATTGTCACTGGTACTACCCCTGGCATCACTACCAGAGCTACCACTGACACTGATAATACCCCAAAAATCACTACCAGAGCTCCTACTGTCACTGGTACAACGACAAACATAACTACCAGAACTTCCACTGTCACTGGTACTGCCCCAGACATCACTGTCACAGTTACCACCGGCACTGATTAAGAGCTACCACTCTTACCATCACTACTTTCACTACCACTTACAATGTTACAACCCCTACCATCCCTACCGCTGTCACTGGTAATACCCCAATCCTGACTACCAGAGCTAACACTGGCATTGATACCACCCTAACCATCGCTACCACAGCTACTACTGTCAGTGTCACTACTACCTGCACCCATCACCTCCACTTGGGTCTCTACCGTCACCCAATACCTCCAATTGGGCCACTTCCAACTCCCATCACCAACACTTGGGACACTACCAGCACCCATCACCTACACTTGGGACACTACCAGCACCCATCACCAACACTTGGGACACTACCAGCACCCATCACCTACACTTGGGACACTACCAGCACCCTTCACCTACACTTGGGACACTACCAGCACCCATCACCAACACTTGGGACACTACTAGCACCCATCACCTACACTTTGGACACTACCAGCACCCATCACAAACACTTGGGACTCTACCAGCACCCATCACCTACACTTGGGACACTACCAGCACCCATCACCTACACTTGGGACACTACCAGCACCCATCACCAACACTTGGGACACTACCAGCACCGATCACCTACACTTGGGACACTACCAGCACCCTTCACCTACACTTGGGACACTACCAGCACCCATTACCTACACTTGGGACACTACCAGCACCCATTACCTACACTTGGGACACTACCAGCACCCATCATCACCTTCTTGGCCACTACCAGCACCCATCACTACCAGCACCCATCTCTACCAGCACCCATCACTACCAGCACCCATCACTACCAGCACCCATCACTACCAGCACCCATCACTACCAGCATCCCATCACTACCAGCACCCATCACTACCAGCATCCCATGGGAACCGGTCGGCCGAGCGGACAGCACGCGGGACTTGTGATCCTGTGGTCCTGGGTTCGATCCCAGGCGCCGGGGAAAAATAATGGGCAGAGTTTCTTTCACCCTATGCCCCTGTTACCTCGCAGTAAAATAGGTCCTGGGTGTTAGTCAGCTGTCACGGGCTGCTTCCTGGGGGTAGAGGCCTGGTCTAGGACATGGCCGCGGGGACACTAAAAAAAAGCCCCGAAATCATCTGAAGATAACGAATCACCTCCAATTGAGCTATTACCAGCACCCATTACCTCCACTTGGGTCACTACAACCAAGCTACAACGGTCACCGGTACTACCCTTACCATCACTACCGGAGCTACCACGGTCACCGGTACTACCCTTACCATCACTACCGGAGCTACCACGGTCACCGGTACTACCCTTACCATCACTACCGGAGCTTCCACTGTCACCGGTACTACCCCTACCATCACAACCAGAACTTCCACTGTATCTAGTATGAACCCATCATCACTATCATAGCTATCAGTGTCACTGGTAATACTTCTATCATCACTAACACACCTACCACTCTCACTGGTACTGTCACAACAATCACTACCAGAGCTACCACTGTTAATGGTACTACCCTTGCTATCACTACCAAAGCTACCACTGTTACTGTTATTAACCCTTCCATCACTACAACTGTTAATGGTACTACCACAACCATGACTACCAGAGCTACCACTGGCACTGATAATACCCCAACCATTAATACCAGAGGTACCATTGTCACTGGTACTACGACTAACATAACTACCAGAGCTTCCACTGTCACTGGTACTGCCCCAGTTACCACTGGCACTGATACTACTCCTACCATCGTTACTATCACTACCACTTTCAATGTTTCTACCCCTATCATCCCTACTTGATGTCTCTGATAGTATCCTTTATATCTCTGAGAGTATCCTGCATGTCGATGAGAGTATCCTTCATATCTCTGAGAGTATCCTTCACGTCTCAGATAATATCCTTCATGTCTTTGAGAGTACCCTTCATGTCCCTGAGAGTATCCTTGATGTCTGAGAGAATCCTTAATATCTCTGAGATTATCCATAATGGATATGAGAGTATCATTCACGTCTGAGAGTATCTTTCATGTCTCTGAGAGTATGCTTCATGTTTTGAGAGTATCCTTCATATCTTTGAGAGTATGCTTTATGTCTCTGAGAGTATCCTTGATGTCTCGAAGAGTATCTTTCATGTCTCTGAGATTATCCTTCATGGATATTGGAGTATCCTTCATGTCTGAGAATATCCTTTGTGTCTCTGGGAGTATCCTTCATTTCTCCGACTAAGACTTTTTGCTCGATGGTACCCGTGTAGAAGTTTGCAAACAGACTGTGGATGAAACAGTCGGGATGATAGCCGACAGAGTGTACCGTTATCCGGCATGTACTCCTCTTGACATACCAGAAAACAGTCTAAGGAAACTACTCTAAGCTTGTACTAAAGATGCACCCTTCTTGAGCCCGGATGGACACATGTATAAGCAAGTAGATGGGGTCGCCATGGGTTCTCCCCTAGGTGTCCTGTTTGCAAACTTCTACATGGGTATCATCGAGCAAAAAGTCTAAGTCGACATGAACTTGAAACCGGCCATATACTGCAGGTATGTTGACGACATTTTTACACAGGTACCTGATGTCAGACATCTGCAGGAGCTGAAGGAGGCATTTGAGCAGAATTCTGTGTTGCGTTTCACTTACGAGATGGAGAAGGATGGGAAGCTGCCCTTTCTAGATGTAACAGTCATGGAAAGGAGCGGAGTTTTCCACACTGCAGGCTACACTAAGGAAACAAACATAGGAATGTGCCTGAATGCCAACAGTGACTGCCCGGACAGGTACAAGAGGAGTGTTGTTAACGCTTATGTCAACCGTGCCCTCAGCCACAGCTCAGAATGGAAGCAAGTCGACGAAGAACTCTGTAGGGTAAGGCAGGTCCTAGTCAACAACGGCTTCTCCAATGGTTTCGTGGAAGACATCATAAGAAGGAAAGTGAAACGCCATGCAACCTCTGAAGAAACAACTAACACAACACCTATACCCCCTATTAGACTATTTTACAGGAACTTCTTTTCCACAGCCCATAAAACGGAGGAAAGGGTCCTGAAAGATATTGTCATTAGAAACGTTATCCCTACAGACAAAAATCAGAAGATACAACTGACAATTTACTATAAAACCAGAAAAACGGCCAGCCTACTCATGAGAAACTCTCCAGACACAAAGCAGAACGCATTAAAAGAGACCAACGTCGTCTATGCCTTCAAATGCCCTCTTGGGGACTGTAAGCCTCAAAAAACCCAGACATGGGTTTACTATACACTAGTTTACTTTTACTAGACATGGGATACTCTCAAAGACATGGCGGATACTCTTAGAGACACGAAGGATACTCTCAGAGAAATGAAGTATACTCTCAGAGAAATGAAGGACACTCTCAGGAACATGAATGACACTGTCAGAGATATGTAGGATACTCTCATAGACATCAAGGATACTCGCACGGATATCAAGAATACTCTCAGAGACCTCGAGGATACTCTCAAACACATGACGGATACTATCAGAGACATGAAGGATTTTCTCAAATATATGAAGGATACTCTCAGAGACATGAAAGATACTCTCAGAGACATGAAGGATACTGTCAGAGAAATATAGGATACTTTTATAGACATAAAGGATACTCTCAGAGACACGAAGGATACTCTCAGAGACATGAACGACACTCCCAGAATACTCTCAGAGACATGAAGGATACTCTCAGAGACATGAACGACACTCCCAGAATACTCTCAGAGACATCAAGAATACTCTCAGAGACATGATGGATACTCTCAAAGACTTAATGGATACTCTCAGAGTCATCAACGATACTCTCAGATTCATCAATGACACTCTCAGAGACATCAAGGATACTCTCAGACCCATCACGGATACTCTCCGAGACATCAAGGATACTCTTAGAGACATCTAGGATACTCTCACAGACATACAGGATGTCTTTGACATCCTTCATATCTCTATGAAGGACATGAATGATGCTCTCATATCCATGATGGATAATCTAAGAGATATTACGGATTCTCTCAGACATTGAGGATACACTCAGGGACATGAAGGATACTCTCAAAGACATGAAGGATTCTCTCAAAGACATGAAGGATACTCTCAGAGGCATAAAGGGTACTCTCAGAGACATGAAGGATACTCTCGGAGACATCAAGGATAGTCTCAGAGACATGATGGATTCTCTCAAAGACATGTAGGGTACTTTCTGAGACATGAAGAATACTCTCAGAGACATGAACAATACTTTCTGAGACATGAACGATACTCTCAAAGACATGAAGGATACTCTCAAAGACATCAAGGATACTCTCAGGGACATGAAAGATACTCTCAGAGACATAAAGGATTCTTTCAGAGACATGAAGGATACTTTCTGAGACATGAAGGACACTTTCAGAGACATGAAGAATACTCTCAGACATATGAAGGACACTCTCATAGACATGAAGGATTCTCTCAGAGACATTAAGAATAATCTCAGACAAGTGAAGGATATTCTCAGAGACATGAGGTATATTCTGCTAGATATGAATACTCTCAAAGACATGAAGAATTCTTTCAGACATATGAAGGATACTCACAGACCCAATTAAGATACTCTCAGAGACATCAAGGACACTCTCAGAGAATTGAAGGATTCTCCCAAAGACATGAAGGATTCTCTCAAAGACATGAAGGATATTTTCTGAGACATGAAGGATACTTTCAAAGACATGAAGGATGCTTTCTGAGACATCAAGGATACTTCCAGGGACATGAAGGATACTCTTAAGAGACATGAAGGATGCTCTCAGAGACATAAAGGTTACTGTCAGTGACATGAAGGATATTCTCAGAGACATCACGGATACTCCCAAAGACATCAAGGATACTCTCAGAGACATGACGGATACTTTTTGAAACATGATGGATACTCTCAGAGACATGAAGGTTACTGTCAGAGACATGAAGAATATTCTCAGAGATATCAAGTATACTCGCAGAGACATGAAGGATACTCTCAGAGACATG